ATAACTCAAACGGTCATCATCAGGTGTGTCGGTTTGCATAAATTTATTTTGAAAACGGCATATTTATTTATTTATATATAAAAAAAATATGACGTTTGCGTCACGCGCAACGATTGGCAGTTTGCCCAGGACTAGTCCATCTATTTTTTGAAAAGAGGAGGGGGGAGACGAAATTTGTTTTTATGTATGCTGTCTGAAAGCCACTGTAAGCGTGAACAATCAATCAAGAACTGAAATGATTTATCAAATCTTTCCAATGATTGCTAAGATAGAATCCATCTTCTCGGTTGAAATTGTCTCTGTGCTTGTATATGTGAATAGCCTCATGAACGAATCTCTCATGGAAGCCAGATGGCTTACAAAGAACCTCCGTCTTGGAAAAGTCAATGGCATGTGAGCCTACTGAATTAGAACAATGATCTGCTACGGCCGAGGTGTTGGTCCTACCGTGTTTAAGGTCTGCTTTATGTTCACGAATGCGGTCCGAGATATGGCGTTTGGTTTCTCCAATGTAACTACTACCACAGAGGCAACTTAGTTTGTAGACACCAGGGTATTGTATGTCCGGAATCACATCTTTTACAGACGGAACCAGATCACGGATTTTATGTAATGTGTTGAAACGGACCTGGATCTTGTGTTTATTCAAGATTTTGGAGATCTTTTTTGTGATCCCAGCAATGTAGGGTAAAGTGATGGTTTTGAAAGGCTCCTCAAGAGGGTTCTTCTTCATGGTTTGAGTGATAGCTTTGCGGATTGTATAGTCGGAGTAACCATTAGCCCTAAGAGCTTGGTGTACGTGCTTGAGTTCACTGCTTATGTGTTCCTGGTCGGATATGCATTGGGCTCTATGATACAGAGTCTTGATGAGCCCAATGCATATCCGACCAGGAACACATAAGCAGTGAACTCAAGCACGTACACCAAGCTCTTAGGGCTAATGGTTACTCCGACTATACAATCCGCAAAGCTATCACTCAAACCATGAAGAAGAACCCTCTTGAGGAGCCTTTCAAAACCATCACTTTACCCTACATTGCTGGGATCACAAAAAAGATCTCCAAAATCTTGAATAAACACAAGATCCAGGTCCGTTTCAACACATTACATAAAATCCGTGATCTGGTTCCGTCTGTAAAAGATGTGATTCCGGACATACAATACCCTGGTGTCTACAAACTAAGTTGCCTCTGTGGTAGTAGTTACATTGGAGAAACCAAACGCCATATCTCGGACCGCATTCGTGAACATAAAGCAGACCTTAAACACGGTAGGACCAACACCTCGGCCGTAGCAGATCATTGTTCTAATTCAGTAGGCTCACATGCCATTGACTTTTCCAAGACGGAGGTTCTTTGTAAGCCATCTGGCTTCCATGAGAGATTCGTTCATGAGGCTATTCACATATACAAGCACAGAGACAATTTCAACCGAGAAGATGGATTCTATCTTAGCAATCATTGGAAAGATTTGATAAATCATTTCAGTTCTTGTACAAATGTACAAATTTGCTATAGCAGGGGATAAAGGAGAACCCATTGCTGCTCCTTCCTTTTGTTTAAAGAAATCCCCTCTCCATAAGAAGTAAGTGTTATTTAAACAATGGCCAGCAAGTTTCGGAATATCTTTTGGTAAACCGGTATTCTTTACTAGTGTATCAAGTAATTTAAGCGATTCGTCCACTGGAACCTTAGTGAATAGAGAAATCACATCAAAACTTACCAGAATATCATCAGGAGTAAGTTTAATATCTTTAATCACATTCACAAGATGTTCTGAATTTTTTTATGAATGAAGATGTCCTAGCGATGTAGGGCTGTATTTGTTTGGTTATATATTTTGCTAATTGATATGTGGCAGAGCCAATTGTACTGACTATGGGTCATAATATTGGTCGCAAAAGCCTACATGTTAAACCAGGTTAGTTTGTTTAGTTTAACCAGGATAGTTTGTTTAGTTTAACCAGGTTAGTGTGTTTAGTTTAACCAGGTTAGTTTGTTTAGTTTAACCAGGTTAGTTTGTTTAGTTTAACCAGGTAAGTTTTAGTTTAGCCAGGATAGTTTGTTTAGTTTAACCAGGTTAGTTTTAGTTTAACCAGGTTAGTTTGTTTAGTTTAACCAGGTTAGTGTGTTTAGTTTAACCAGGTTAGTTGTAGTTTAACCAGGTTAGTATTAGTTTAACCAGGTTATTTTGTTTAGTTTAACCAGGTTGGTTTTAGTTTAACCAGGTTAGTATTAGTTTAACCAGGTTAGTTTTAGTTTAACCAGGTTAGTTTGTTTAGTTTAACCAGGTTAGTTGTAGTTTAACCAGGTTAGTATTAGTTTAACCAGGTTAGTTTGTTTAGTTTAACCAGGTTAGTTTTAGTTTAACCAGGTTAGTATTAGTTTAACCAGGTTAGTGTGTTTAGTTTAACCAGGTTAGTTTGTTTAGTTTAACCAGGTTAGTTTTAGTTTAACCAGGTTAGTTTGTGTAGTTTAACCAGGTTAGTTTTAGTTTCACCAGGTTAGTTGTAGTTTAACCAGGTTAGTTTGTTTAGTTTAACCAGGATAGTTTGTTTAGTTTAACCAGGTTAGTTTGTTTAGTTTAACCAGGTTAGTTTTAGTTTAACCAGGTTAGTTTGTGTAGTTTAACCAGGTTAGTTTTAGTTTAACCAGGTTAGTTGTAGTTTAACCAGGTTAGTTTTAGTTTAACCAGGTTTGTTTGTGTAGTTTAACCAGGTTAGTTTGTGTAGTTTAACCAGGTTAGTTTTAGTTTAACCAGGATAGTTTTAGTTTAACCAGGTTAGTTGTAGTTTAACCAGGTTAGTTTGTTTAGTTTAACCAGGTTAGCTTGTGTAGTTTAACCAGGTTAGTTTGTGTAGTTTAACCAGGTTAGTTGTAGTTTAACCAGGTTAGTTTGTTTAGTTTAACCAGGTTAGGGTCTAATTTGCAAGTAAACAAAGTGTGCACGAGTATACAGGTCACTGTATATATACAGTATATATACTGTATATATACAGTATATGTTGGCTGGATAAATTCATCTTTACTTCCTTCCAAAATTGTTTAAACGAAATAAAACTAACTTTGTATTGCCAGAGTCGACGAGTTGTGGCGTCGTTGTGGTCATATCACCAGTGTTGTGGTGTGGTTGTGTCACCAGTGTCGTGTTGTGGTGTGGTTGTGTCACCAGTGTCATGTTGTGGTTGTGGTTGTGTCACCAGTGTCGTGTCGTGTTGTGGTGTGGTTGTGTCACCAGTGTCGTGTTGTGGTTGTGGTTGTGTCACCAGTGTCGTGTTGTGGTTGTGTCACCAGTGTCGTGTTGTGGTTGTGTCACCAGTGTCGTGTTGTGGTTGTGTCACCAGTGTCGTGTTGTGGTTGTGTCACCAGTGTTGTGGTTGTGTCACCAGTGTCGTGTTGTGGTTGTGTCACCAATGTCGTGTTGTGGTTGTGGTTGTGTCACCAGTGTCGTGTTGTGGTTGTGGTTGTGTCACCAGTGTCGTGGTGTGGTTGTGTCACCAGTGTCGTGTTGTGGTTGTGGTTGTGTCACCAGTGTCGTGGTGTGGTTGTGTCACCGGTGTTGTGGTTGTGTCACCAGTGTTGTGGTTGTGTCACCAGTGTCGTGTTGTGGTTGTGTCACCAGTGGTGTGGTTGTGGTTGTGTCACCAGTGTCGTGTTGTGGTTGTGGTTGTGTCACCAGTGTCGTGTTGTGGTTGTGTCACCAGTGTCGTGTTGTGGTTGTGTCACGAGTGTCGTGGTGTGGTTGTGTCACCAGTGTCGTGGTGTGGTTGTGTCACCAGTGTCGTGTTGTGGTTGTGTCACCGGTATCGTGTTGTGGTTGTGTCACCGGTGGTGTGGTTGTGGTTGTGTCACCAGTGTCGTGTTGTGGTTGTGTCACCAGTGTCGTGTTGTGGTTGTGTCACCAGTGTCGTCACCAGTGTCGTGTTGTGGTTGTGTCACCAGTGTCGTGTTGTGGTTGTGTCACCAGTGTCGTGTTGTGGTTGTGTCACCAGTGTCGTGTTGTGGTTGTGTCACCAGTGTTGTGGTTGTGTCACCAGTGTCGTGTTGTGGTTGTGTCACCAGTGTCGTGTTGTGGTTGTGTCACCAATGTCGTGTTGTGGTTGTGTCACCAGTGTCGTGTTGTGGTTGTGGTTGTGTCACCAGTGTCGTGTTGTGGTTGTGTCACCAGTGTCGTGTTGTGGTTGTGTCACCAGTGTTGTGGTTGTGTCACGAGTGTCGTGGTGTGGTTGTGTCACCAGTGTCGTGGTGTGGTTGTGTCACCAGTGTCGTGTTGTGGTTGTGTCACCGGTATCGTGTTGTGGTTGTGTCACCGGTGGTGTGGTTGTGGTTGTGTCACCAGTGTCGTGTTGTGGTTGTGTCACCAGTGTTGTGGTTGTGTCACCAGTGTCGTGTTGTGGTTGTGTCACCAGTGTCGTGTTGTGTTGTGGTTGTGTCACCAGTGTTGTGGTGTGGTTGTGTCACCAGTGCCGTGTTGTGGTTGTGTCACCAGTGTCGTGTTGTGGTTGTGTCACCAGTGTTGTGGTGTGGTTGTGTCACCAGTGCCGTGTTGTGGTTGTGTCACCAGTGTCGTGTTGTGGTTGTGTCACCAGTGTCGTGGTGTGGTTGTGGTTGTGTCACCAGTGGTGTGGTTGTGGTTGTGTCACCAGTGTTGTGGTTGTGTCACCAGTGTCGTGTTGTGGTTGTGTCACGAGTGTTGTGTTGTGGTTGTGTCACCAGTGTCGTGTTGTGGTTGTGTCACCAGTGTCGTGTTGTGGTTGTGTCACCAGTGTCGTGGTGTGGTTGTGGTTGTGTCACCAGTGTTGTGGTTGTGTCACCAGTGTCGTGGTGTGGTTGTGTCACCAGTGTCGTGGTGTGGTTGTGGTTGTGTCACCAGTGTCGTGGTGTGGTTGTGTCACCAGTGTTGTGTTTGTGTCACCAGCCTCATGGCGTTGTTGTAGTTACCGTGCTGCAGTCGGCTCTCATGACCCCGCGGTGTCGTCACCCCCCACCGCTCTCCCACAGAGGCCGTCGGCGCTGGAGGCCGCGCGGCTCGACAAGAAGGGGCCGGGAGGCCCGAGGCCGCTGGACTCGCCCCGGCCTTCACCTCCCACACAGCACCGCGAACTCGGCCAGCCTGTAAGCTCTCAGACACACACAGACACACAGACAACAAAAACACAGACACACGGACACAATGTGGAGATTCTGCACCACCGCACTCGCCGCCCCGTGAGCTTTGCTAGGAGCCCAGCCTGCATCACAAGCCGCTCGTGTCAGATCCACTTAATTGTGAACGGCTGTCCGCGCGTGAACGGCTGTCCGTGTGTGTTACCGGCCGGTCAGGTCAGTTGTGCCAACACCGGTGATTGCCGTGGGTTTATGACTGCCAAGGTAAGCGGCCATAATCGATTGTTGTTGGCAGTGGGCGACGGTGGTGATGGTTGTGGTCCTGGTGGTGGTGTGGCTAACAGCAGTGACGATTATCTGAACCGGTCACGGGCCTCCCATAGGTCAACGCAGCCTCAAATGAGTACCTGGTGCGGTGTGTAAACATCGCCACTTAAGGAGACAAAGGCGGCCGGGCGTGGTGCTGGCCACTCCACCCCCTTGTGTGCCATGCCGACCTTCATAGGTGCTGCTCGATTACAGCACTTTCCCCAACAGTCTACTAAGGCTATACGGGGGATATTTTGCTATGGTGGAGGTGGTTGGGAGAGTGAGGAAGGGGCGGGAATGCTGCGAAGAGGTGAAAAAGAAGGGCGAGTTGTGAAGATGGATAACAGCGAAATTGCCGTGACCGACCCGGGGTCAAAGAGAGAAGCGCCGCACCCAAGCGTCTGCCCTACCCCCCACCTCTCCGCTACCCCCCCACCCATCCCCGGGATTAACGAGCTCGTCGTTAAGCACCGATGAAGACGGCTTCATGAGCTCGCTAAGATCCATCCGCTCGCCCGATCGAAATCGATCCTCGCTCTCACGGCACAGCCAGCGCATGTTGTGCGTTCGGGGCAGGTCGACGCGACGGTTCGTCATCACGTGCACAGCCCTTGCCAGTCCACTGCTGGATGAGGGCCTCCCCCACCCCACCTATTTCCGTGCCAAAAACTCCCCAATGTAGAAATGACAGCGGATGAGCCGCCACGCTCGTCGGCACAGCCACGCTCGTCGGCACAGCCACGCTCGTCGGAGCCGCCACCCTCGTCGGCACAGCCACGCTCGTTGTCGCCGCCACGCTCACTATCCCAGCTCCCCGTTGTGTGCGATGCTTGGCTTTTTACGCCGAGGGTGACAAAGTAGAGCAGCACTCGCCGCTTGTAACAGAGGTTCGCGGTTCGAGTCGGGCGGGCCACCCTGGTTGTTATGTACTGTATGTACGTTGAACTCCTTTCGCACCGTACGTATCCAACGGCGCTAATCGGAGGTGTGGGGTGAAGGACAACAATTGAAACACAAAAAGCAGTTTTAAAGAAATTAGTTTTCAGCACTGCGGTGTGTATGAACCGTAAAAAGACGACGGTTATTTTACAGGTTCGGCCCACCGAGCTACGTGGCTCTTTTTGCAGAAGTCACCTGGCCACAAATGACAGCACAACGAAGTGGCTTGTCACGTGGACATGTACAGCAGCAGCCAATTACTCTAAGCGCGACCACGGGGAGAGGGCGAGAGAGACACGCAAACTCCAAATATACAGCAGCAGCACGCTCCGTCAGGGTCATGATTGACTGCCATGCGACATCCGCTCGCCAGTGGACGTTAAAGAGGCCATGACGTCATTCGAAAAGAGGAGGGCAATGATGCCGCAAGTCACTCGGTTAAGATTATACATCGCAACGTCGCCCCCCACTTACGGGCAGACTCACGCCCGGTTGCTGTGATTTGTTTATAAAAGTGTTTTTCCCGGTTTTAGTTCACGTTGGGGCGGCAGGGTGGCGGCACGGCGAGTAACGACTGTGCCACAAGAAGCGCCCGGGTTCTGTTCCCAACTCTGGACAGGTAGACTTTGAAAAAGAGCTACATAGCTCAGTGGGGCTTACCTGGTAGAATAAAAAATAGTTCAATTTTATTCGTATATTTTTAAGTGATTTACCTTTCCTATACTTTGCACTCCTAACATGTTTTTGTACTGTTTGTTGTTGGAACGTTCTCATCCTGTGCCCCGACTTGGCACCTGTGAAAAAGAGCTTCATAGCTCATCAGATTCCTCCAATCTGAATATTCTGACTGTGACCTCTCTGTGCGTTCTCCCCATGTTCTGCATTGGACATCCTCCGAGTTTCTCAGTTTCCTCCTCCCATAGCCAAGAGAAGAGAGCAGGGCAGGAGGAGAGATTGCCATCCTTCCCCCGCACCTCCGATGAGCACGCTTGCCTACGTGCGGTGCGAAATAAGTTCAACATACAGACACGCATGCAGATGCGCCGAGGGTGCTTTCAGACAGAACCACGCAATTATACGCACACCTGCCTGCCCCGATGATGTTCAGAGCGAGTCTCTGATGGCAAAGTCAGATCGCGTGCGGGTGGGCGGACTAATTGCGTTACTCGCCTGGCTCTAGTCACCGGTTTCCGTACACGCTGCAGCCGAGTTTCGTTTTTATTCGTGCTGGCAAAGTCACCGATGGAGGCCCCCAATCCCCTTCACCCCCGCGGCGAGCCATTGCGTCGAAGTTGTACAGGGTGGTGGTCCAGATGTCATATGGTGCCCCAATTAATGGACCCCAAACATTTTTTTCTCCTTTGCTTATTCATTTCTACTGTTGAAGATGTTCGAAAAGAGTTTTGTGAAAGATTTAACAATAATGATGATATTTAATCAAGTTATATCACTTACATTACATTACACACTCCATTGGGTATAGAAATATTTTAGTTTTAGATAATTAAATGGGTGCCACAAGACATCAGGACCGCCCTGTACATTGCAGCCCGGATACGCTGTGCCTGGGTGTCTGTCCCCCTCTCTCTCTCTCTGGAATGCCTGCACACACATGGGCCCTTGTTATCCGCTGCTGGATGAGGGCCTATCCAAGCCGTACATGGGCCGTGAGCGGTGTTTGACCATACTTCACTGCGCGGGTCACCGCGGGGTTGGTGAAGGTTTGGGGGGTGAAGGATGTTGTGAGAGATAGCTGCACTCCTCTCTGTTCCCCACAGTGCGCGGTCCGCCTGTCTTGCTGTGCATGGTGGTCACTGTTCAAGCACTGTCCAGGTTCAGCTGTGCTCAGCTTCCGAGATGTGATGAGGACAGAGGCTTTCGATGAGATTTGGTCAAAGGCTGTGCGTGTTTCTCACAGGGGCGGTTCGCGTGGCCGTGTGTTCTAAAGCGCGACAGAGGTCCCTGTGTTTTTCTTTTATGGTTGTAACAGTGCTATCAGCATCGGTATCCATTTGTAAGTCTCCCAGAGCAGTGCAGCTGATCGCGGGAGCGAACGGGCCTGCGGGAGTGGACATCACAGAGCTACCTTTGAGATGCCCCTTCTTCAAGTGACCTCTGAACCACACGCCAGCCAGGGGGTGGGGGGGGGGGGTCAGCACTCTCTCTCCCGCCTGCCCTGCCCCCAGAGAGCGAGGCTCCTCGCACGGCGATGACAAACTATTCTCAGCGCCGACACTCAGCCAGATTACCTCGTGTAACGTAACGCGATGGCTTTGTCCGTGCAGTCATTGGCGTGACCAGGCTGAGACCATTGACTCATTAGCCTTGAGAATCTCACCACAGGGGGTTGCCTGGATTCGAACCCAGGGTCTCAGCGGTGCCAGCTCATCCCGCCGACCTCCGTGCCATCCCCGGGCCACCTCCAATCAGAGTTTTTTTTTTTTCCCTGAAGGACATCTTCACTCTCTGTGACCTTTTGTGGCATCTGGCGAAAGAGAGGCGGGCGATGGCCACGGCGTCGGTCGGCGTCAGTCAGCTCCTGAGGCTTTTTCTCGGCCCTGATCATCGCCGGGTGACGCGTGCTAGGATCGCTACCCCCTCGTGTGTGTGGGGTTCTCTCCGCTCGACTCTGCTTCACGCAAAGCGATCAACTGATTTGTTTTTACTTGGGTTTTTTTCTCTAAAACTAAAAAACAATTTTATTTCACCCGATAAGGCCCACGCTGAGCTGTGTAGATCTTTTTCAGAAGCGACCTGACGATCACAAATGAGAGTAACTTATCATCGTGTGTAAATTTATAGCAGCCAACACACTCTAAATGCACGATGTCAATTCTAAATGTGGAGGGAAAAACCGGAGGACCCGGAGAAAGATCCACACGATCACGGGGAGAGAGACACGCAAACTCCAAATATAGAGCAGGTGTCAGTGTTGGACTCAAACCAACGACCTCCTGTATGCTAGGCGAGGTAGTTAACATCTCGCCACCGTGGTGCTCTCCTGCAAAAAAAACCTTTGAAAAAGCATGCACTCTGTTTTTTTTTCTTTTTAATAAAAACCGAGACCATGAACATTTTTTCGAAAACAAACATTACGAGCTGAAGGTGTGGTTGGAAACGCCTTAGGGAAGTCACGGTTTTTCAAAAACATCCCCCGAGTCAGTGTGTGATATGAATCCGCGTGAGAGTGGCAATCAGACGGAAAGCTGTTACTGCGGTTGTGTCGCTTAACCACAGATTACTATGCACCGCCACCCACCCCCCCTCACAGCGGACGTTAAAGTTCCCCCTGTGGCTTCGTTTGCGAGAGGCAGCCCCATCGCGTGCCGGTGTCACGGGTCCAGAATTATCCAAATTCGGAAGTCGCCCGCAAGGCGCTTGTCTTGCGCCGCTTTCGGGTGCGCTTCTGCAGTCATCTGGAACACTCTTCCATCTCCAGTCATCTGGAACACTCTTCCATCTGCAGTCATCTGGAACACTCTTCCATCTGCAGTCATCTGGAACACTCTTCCATCTGCAGTCATCTGGAACACTCTTCCTTCTGCAGTCATCTGGAACACTCTTCCTTCTGCAGTCATCTGGAACACTCTTCCTTCTGCAGTCATTTGGAACACTCTTCCATCTCCAGTCATCTGGAACACTCTTCCATCTGCAGTCATCTGGAACACTCTTCCTTCTGCAGTCATCTGGAACACTCTTCCTTCTGCAGTCATCTGGAACACTCTTCCTTCTGCAATCATCTGGAACACTCTTCCATCTCC